AAAACTAGCAGCTTGTCAGCTCGATAAAGGAAAAAGACATATTTCCAACCATGTCAAACTATTTCTCTAACGCTGTGTGGATGAAATTTAATTAAACGATGAAAAATGCTGAGGAGAACATACAGCTGAATATTTTATTTTGATGTTGTACATACATACGCAGCATTCTCTTTTTTTTTCTTTTTTTTTTTTTAGCGTGTCCGGTCCAGCATCATAGCAAGCAGAATGATGACCTGAATGCTGTGTTGTGCTGAATAGATTTACTTTGCCAAGGGGAGCTTTACAAATGTAGCCCCCCCCCTTGATAGTCTGATTTTCCTTTATTTATGTATGTAGTCATTCTATTTTGTTTCGTTCAGTTATTTTGGATGCTGGATTCTTACTGAGTTACATGTCATATTGCTGGACCTGAAAGAGGAAAAAGAAAAGTGTACAGTCTTTGGACTGTACGCAGCATTCTCTAAATAACAGCGTAGACTGGGCTGACAGAAAATCAGGTCTCCAGTATCGGCCTGAAGGCAGAGCCGCGGGAAAACAGACTCCCTGCAGACTGCACTGATAAGATGAATGCTGCTCCCCTGGAGTGAAAGAAAAGTCAATACATGTCCAGAAAACTTGTGTACCTGCTGCAAAAAGCTGACTTGTGAGGCACACACTCGTACACAGTAAAGAAACAAGAGGACACACACTAATAACACTGCTCGCTGTGTTCTATTTGCTCTTCGGGTTCTTCTCAGTGGAGGGGCAGAGGATCCGATCTGAGACTCCAATCAGAGTCTATGTATCCTCAGTGTCTTACTGCACTTTCAACCCATTTGTTAAAGATGAACTTTGTCCAATTCTTCACCTGAAGTGGCTTTAGTTAGTGTGAGCAATGAATTATTTATTGATCAAATTGATAGATCAATTTGACTTTGTCGCTCTGTCAAATGATGCTGTTTTATAGGCTGATATCCATGTTTAGCGTCCACTACTGACCACAAATCACATTCTTAAGGTGCGGTGTTCATGCATGTGTGTCGTGAACAGACACCTTCATGGAATATTTAAAGCGGAGATCCATCAGAATATGAACGCTCCTCAGAGAACACTGTCATCTCTCTGGTCAGTCAGTCAATCATCAGCTGTCAGACTCCGAAAGCCCAAATAGCTCATAGAATATTGATAAAACCGGGTATTTTTAGATCAAAATGTCATCTGCATGTGAAGTTTGGGAATCACAGTGTGTTCCTGGAAACACTTTGTTGGATTGAAATGTATGGCATTTTTTCCCCTTGTAGTTGCAAATGTATATCAAGTATAAATACTGGCTTACTAGCTGCATGACCATTTCATTTCTTATTGTTGCTGCTAGTGCTGTTCTCCACTTCGTTGTCTTTTAAGATATGTTCAAAGATTATTGAGCGCTGCCTCTATGAATCAGGGTGAAAGCTACAAATGGAATAAAATATGACGACTCAGTGAAGCCTTTGAGTTGTTTAGTCTCAGAAGAGTTCACATAAAAACTTCATTGGACTGCAGAGAGGAGCTGTGACGCGAGGTGGCCGGACAAGCTCGCTGTGATCTGCTGGCAGTTGAAATACTTGTTAAAAGTCCAGATGAAAGAGTTAATTATGAAATCTGCCAACTATCAAGAGTAACACGACACCAAGAGAAGAGGTTGCTGTTGATCTACTTTTTCAAACAAAAACAAACTTCTATTGGTGTAATGTTTGAATTATTGTAATGCTTGGGTGGAAATCTCAGCCTCAGAGACGTGATGTGTTGAAAAATCTGGACTAAACTAGTGAGAGTGGTGCGTGAGGAGAATTTGATTTAGATTTTGTAAAATGCGTGAACAAACCCTTTTAGTTAAATTAGGGATTAATGGATTTTCATCAACCACTAAAAGCATATTTGGCAGGTAATTGTGATTTTCTTATCATAAAAGACCTTCATAGTTCCTCGAGCAACTAGAATAAATAAATTATACGTGATGGGTTTTTGTAAGTAGTTAGCAAAGTAGTTTATTCATTTATTGACATCGCTGATTACATGACAGGAATTCTCAGAGGATGAGTATCTTTACACGGGACATTATCTGATGGCTGATTGCACAACAGTTTAGATTTGATTGCCAGTGATTGGGTAATCACACAATATCAGAGTAGATGACTTTTTATAACAGATTACTCCTTAATAATTAAACCGATGCCCCGAAAGTGCAAGTTTACCTCACTACTGAAATTGGATGTGAGCAAATTAAATGCAGTATATCAGCTCCCTCAGTCTCTCAGGTTCATATCGGTGGACCTCGGTGCCCTTCCTGCTGTGTGCACACACCGTTTCCTGCCTACACCTTGACGAGATGTGGCATCTCACTGCAGATCACAGTGTGGTGTGCAAATTCGATCTGCTGCAGAGGAGCTTCTTGATTTTCAATTTTCTCTCGGTATTAATAAGACGACGGGTCGACATCCCTGTTTTGTTAACACATGAACAGTGCTGTTGTTGTTACTGTGATAAATATCACAAGATTGAGTGAATATTTCATTACATCTGAAGAGTCACATCTCATGAAGATGTCACTGGGAATATATGGAAGCAGCTCCACGTGATGAACATGTGCATAACCTGCTAAGATCCTGGACAAAGGAGCCCATCATGTCTAATGAAGAGTCCTATATGCAGCCAAAGAATGTTTGGGGGTTTTTTTTAGACAGATTGAACTGTAAAAGTTCAACCTAGCATACTGCGATTTTCTAATTTAAGACACCACTATGTACAGCATTTATTTACAGAAAACGATCCGACCTCACTCTCCGACTACATTTTGCTCTCTTGTTGTCAAGTGAACTTACACAGAACACTTAAATGGAAAGTACTCCACCAGGTGTTGTGAATCTGTTACTACAGAACCAAACATTGACTGAATTGTCAAAAAGGTGACATATGGTGCATTTCTAGATTCCTTTTTTGTTTATTTGCTTGTAATTATGTGACTTTTTGTGCACATTAGCAGGCCTACAGTAAACTCTACCAGCGCAGTCAAGAAAAAGCAACATATTTTTAGTTGTTACAGTTAGAAAATCGCAAATACCAATAATTCTGTTCTATTCTGGCGTCAAGGTCAGCCATGTCAATATGACAGCGAGCCAGTTTGCACAATACTTCTTTTCTACAGCTGTGCTTTTTGACATTTCATTGTGTGTTCTGTGAAACAGTCCTGTCTACCTAAAACATCTGGAACAAACATTGCAAATTCTGCTGATCTTGCACCACAACTGCATGTTGAAAGAACAAAACAAACTGCAACACAGGATACATATGCTGTATGGGTGGCGGTTAAAAACTATCTTATCTCTGCATGCCTTCTGAAGCATGAAGGAAAACCGCTACTTCACTGCTGCAAACTTACATGCACTACTGATGCCTTCACAGCTGAACAAGTGTGGCTCTAAAATAATAAACGTTTTCCATTTTCTCCCTCTTTTCCCAGTTGATCTTTCTTAAAATACTCCACTCACATGGAATACAAAACGATTACAATGGATACTCAATTGCTACTTTATTAAAAAATAACATTTAATATGCAATGATACAACACTGTACAGTAGAGTGTGTGTGCGGGGGGGAACAAAGACGTCCCCGAGAAGACTGTGAATGAAGGGCTGCTGGTCAGCTGTGAGGACGTGCTGGAGTTTTTCTCATGCTGCATTCATCACATGTTGAGGGATAACTGAGGCAGGACGTGGCATCCAAAGCAACAACCGACATGCTCTGAAGGTACCACGCTTTCATCATGAGCTGTTTCGTTCTTCCTTTTTGCAGGACGTTCGGAAACAGATTGCTATTTTTTTTAATGTTTGTTTCTACAATAGGCAGGGACAAATTCAATGTAAAACACACAAACCCTGAGTTACTGACTTTTATAACATCCATTTCAAGTCAGACGTTAATATTTCTTGTATGCCCTCGTGTTATGAATGCAGCATTAATCCTGAGAGGAGAGAAGCAACTGTAAGATCTGCTGTTCACGGATCAGTCCAAGATGTGAAGTGGAAGTACTTTATTCCATGACGAACAATCACTTCCGAAAATCGACCACGACCGAGGCCCCTCCGAAAATACCTCACATGTAAATAATCACTGTGGTGGAAACGCAGGCAAACTTAAACCTTTGCTGACTGAGACTCCTCAAAAACCACAAATAGGTTCCGCTAATACTGTATGGCCCTGGTATAGAGTGAATTTCTGCATCGTCCAGGACAGATGCCACAGTGCATGTCATCAAAAAAAAAAAAAAAAGACACCACAAAATCCCTAAATGCATGGTAAGTCTGGACTAGTGGTATTTTACAGAATATCACATTATTTCACAAAATAGTGTAGCAGTCTCACAACAGATTTGTCCTCTTGTTTTCGGCGGACAACATGAAGCACTGACGATGTGAGATGGCAGTGTTTAGCTCTGCAACAATGTAACAGCACTGAGAAAAGAAAATATGAAAAAAGAAAAAAAAAATAATTTGGCAATAAGTGAAAAAAGAAAAAAAAAATAATTTGGCAATAAGTGCCAGATCAGAGTCCTCCTTGTAAATCAGTCGGTTCTACAGTTCATGGGCTTTTAAGCAGCTTTTTGTTTGCTGACTTTTTCATTTGCTACAAAAAAAAAAACTACAATTACTGGCAGTGTTAGACTGAGCCATGCAGCACACAGGCTTCATTTGCCAGGCCTTCAGTTATCTTATTAACGAAGAAAATGGAGGTGCTTTAATGACTACACTGGTCCTAATTTTAGGTTTTAAAATAACAATTAAAAGACAGATGCTAAGTCTTTAAACTCAAGCATGGACTCATGGATATGACGAGACTGGCTGATAATGAGGGTGACTGTGCTGAACATTCTTGCATTTCTTGATGCATCTCAATTTCAAGGCATGTGTGGAAGACTTAATCATGCTAATTATATGACTAAGGAAAAGGCTAGATAATTCAGAAAGACTAGCTAATAACTCAAATCGTGTCTTAGAGATTTAATACTCATTGACAAGTACAAAATTAAGTAAATGACATACTAAACTGGCTAATACAAATTCTACTGAGGGACTGAGAAGTCTTAGGTTAGATTAAAAAAAAAGAGTCATCTAAGCGTTGCAGAATCCCTAGTTCTTGGAAAGTAGGAAGAAAAGCCTTGTGTCAATGGCAGCAATTTTAGCTTTTTATAGAAAAGTTTCCCACATCAATATGATTCACAAACCAGGTTGTTTAACAACACACTTGCATCATTGCCCTGAGAAATATGTTCCCTCGCGGCTATGGGTCTGAAGATGCCTTTTAATTTTGTCAGAGCGACTGAAGCATTTGCCACACACGGGGCAACTGTATGGCTTTTCCCCCGTATGGATCCTCATGTGTACCTTCAGGTGAGCCATCTGTGTGAAGCCCTTGCCACAAATCTGGCAGCGGAATGGTTTTTCTCCTGTGTGGCTACGCTGGTGCTCCTGGAGTCTGCCTGAGGAGCTGCAGCATTTCCCGCATACTCCACAGCGATAAGGTTTTTCCCGAGTGTGCACTTGAACGTGTACATGCAAGTGGCCAATGTGACTAAACGCCTCGCCACAAACCTTGCAGCAAAAAGAGGACATGTGGCCTTGTAGGGGGGATTTTTGATGGGGGCAGTCTACAGCATTGGCTCCTTGGTTACGCATATGAGACGCCTGTCCTCTGTTAGCTCCAGTTCCAGCTCCCTTAGCACCAACCATCTGTCCCCCATTCTCCACACCGATAATGTCAATGTTGTTCTCATTTGAGCAGTTTGGGTTGACTGGTGCCAGAGGCTGAGCGCCACTGTTCGAAGATGTAGAGCCTCTGTGGCCGCCTCCACTTTCTGCCTTCACATGCCTCGAGGAGCCTCGAGATCCAGGATCCCTTTCTCTGTTCTCCACGCCTTGACTCTGAGGGAGATTGGACGTGTGTGGGCCATCCTGTGGGTATTCATTTCCAACATGCGGAGGAGTGAACATATTCTCTGGCGTGCTGCAAGAGCCGTGCGCCCGAAGCTGGTCATCTCCTTGGTTGGCCCGAAGGTCTCTCTTGTCCTTGATCTGGATAGGAATACGCTCCTCATGCCCCATGCTGGGACTCCACTCGCGGCGTGGATGCTCACCATCCTCCTCGTCCAACAGCGGCATTGATGGACGATCTAAGACAAAAGGAGGAAGAGGCTCAGCTGAAAACAGAAACTACTATATTGCAAATAATACGGCACAAGAGTTTTGATTGAAATATCTGAATGACTTGCTCGTTGTGTTTGAACACAAGCTCAAGATACTATAAAAGGTATAGAGGAGGAAGCAGAACATATGAAAATGGTAACTGTAGTGCCCTTCTGTAAAACATTCCTTCATTAGATGGCTTTTTCTTTTTCAACTGAATGGGCAAAGAGTTGAACTTAGTCCACTGCTAATTGAAACTAAGAGACAATCTAACCTGAAATATCTCAATTGTAGTCATTTACAACATGTATGACGTCTAACTGAGGGGGTTACAGTACCAGTGCAGAGGTGGTAAACTACTATATCTGGTTTCCTGATCAATAATTGCAACTTATGGTCTAACGACACAATAATAAAATAGCACATTTGCTGGTAAAAGACGTACACTTTTACCGTGATGGTTAAATTAGTAGTAATAGTCATATCTGCAAATATTGTCAGTCATCCAGGTCATGGTACATCTAAGTGCTAAAATAAAGGCAACTGGACTTGCTTGAGTTTGTTAAAGACATTTCATCTCTCACCGTAAAGGCTTTCTCAGGTCTGAAGATGTCAAAAGTTTTTGGATGTGAGGACATACATACATAGTGGCAGTAATGTAATTAAATAACTCATTGCTAGTTTTGGTATGATGTAACATTATCTGGTGAAGTGGCCCAACTTTATTGCAAAACCATCAGGGGAACCCCTCAGTAAATACATAAACAGTTAACAACATGCTAATACCAATGTAAGGTATTACCATCTTGGACTCCTAAGCATTGTTTTACTTGAATTTACAGTTGATGTAATTGGAACTTGTGATACTGAAAAGAGACAACCATAGAGTTATGTCAAGATAAAGTGTGAATAACTGAAATTATGAATGCTTATATGAGTATTTACACTCATAGTAAGCCATGGCACCTTTGCTAACACTTTGGCAGCAGTTGCACCTATGAGTCTATGTGAATGAAGTGTTTCAGCTTCAAGTAAACAAACACTGTTGACACAGCACTTGTGTGATCGTTTTTGGTCTTTACCATAGTGGGTCCCAGTCAAACAAACCCTTAATTATTACTATAAATACGTCAGCATGCACACATGAATCCAAATATAGCTCAATGCTATCCCGGGTGTAGGCTAGTCGGCTAGCTGGCAGGCTAACGAACAAAGGTTGCTAACGCGCTAGCCGCTTCACAACAACGGCAGCTAACGTCAACTAGCTTGCCAACGGCCAAAGTTAACTTGCTTAGAAGTGGGGCAACATTATCCTGTAGCTGTTTATCATGTTGTTATATATGTCCTGTTTGCCGTCATCTTAATTTCACCCCCTAATGCCACCCCACAGTGTTGGCTAGCAGTGCAAGAAAGGGGCGCAACTGCACCGTTAGCTTTCAGCGGAGCTAACCTGGCCATATTTCAATTCCAGCGTCTCGCAGTCTGCGTCTCAGATGGTCGTTCTCCCGCTCCCTGATCGCTATCTCCTCTTGGTACTCCAAAATCGTGTCCTCAACAGATTTGTAAATCTCCTGCGCGGCAAGCATCAGGCGCTCAGTCAAAAAGACGTTTAGAAACTGCAGTTTGGTCATTTTCTTGGATTGCGCTGAGCTCCTGCAGTCATCCAAAATGGACCAAAAAAGATGCTCGACCCGATCACGTGACCCAGACTTGTTTCTTCTTCTTCGTCGTCTCCTTCTCCTCCTTCTTCTTCTTCTTCCTCCTCATGCTGCCCGAGGATGGAGGAGACGTTTCTCTCACTGTCACCCTGATACAGTCATGATCTTACCTCAAAGGTTTTTACTAATCCTGTAGATTCTGGTTTTCGTTTGTTTTGTTTGTTTATTCAATTGGGGGGTTTTTGTTTTGTTTTGTTTTTTTTTTTATTTTTTTTAGACATTTATATGTTTGAGAAGAAAAAAGAAGAGAAGATGGAACTTTACTATTTCCCAACTGAAATTTTTGTGCCAGATAGTTCTCAGGAAAAAAAAATAGTAGCATGACAGTACACACTGTACCTAATAGATTTACACACCAAAAAAAAAAAATATTAAAAAAAATACTAGAATAGAAAAGTAAGAACAAATACTGGCAGTGATATTGAAGTATGAAAGTAATGTTGTACATGATAATGAAATATTGCACAGGATATTGAAATACTGCACATACAAACTAATGTTGCGCATTTTATTGATAAAGTATCTATTTATGTAATTTTAAACAGAAGTCGATCTGTTTACTCTTTGAATATCGATGTAGTTGTTTCATTTCTTTAATTTTTGATATGTATGCTCCTATTTGTTGTTGTTGTTGTTGTTTATAGTTCTCATAACCTTGCGGTTGCTTCTTTTTTTTTCTTCTCTTTCAGTGAATACATGCTAATCGCTCCTACTAGGATTTGTTTTATTAGTAAAACTTTGCACATGTATGGTGGTAATTTGACCATATCTGACATATTACTTTCACTCCTGCTACACATCTATTATTATATATTAGAGACTTATCATGACTATAACACAATCACTTCAAGAAAAAACTCAGTGAAAGCCACAACCTGTACAAGTATGTCATCTGACTTGAATTCAAAACTTTTGAGGTATTTTTTATAAAGAGTGCAACACAACTCTACAGCAAAGAGCAGCAAAAATAAAAATTAAAAACATGATTGGGTCTGTTATCAAAAATATAGTTGGACATAAAAAGTATTAAAAAACAATGTACTGATTTTTGTTGCATTGAGTTCCTACTGTGGTCGCTGTATTTTTATTCTAGTAAATCTAAAGTGTTGGTTTTCATTTTGGCATAACAGCAATTGTCTAACACCGAAGTTTCAGTACACCAGGAGTGCCAAAGTCTGGCTTGATAGCAGCGTGAAGTGAAAAATTGTGGTGTTAGAAAAATCTTTTTAGAAAGCATGAATGTACACGGAAAAATTATTTGACGTTTCACATAAGAGCAAATACCTCACTGTTCAACTCAGACATGATGCAGTTATTGCAATATGTAACAATTTAAAATCCTTTCATGCTTTGTGATAACACTCTCATTTCTGCTGTATATTGTATATAGGAAAGTAAACAATAGCTTTAGAACATGTATCTTCTCTATAATCTACCTTACACCTCTTGAGAACACATTAATTTCAATGTTTTAATACCAGTTCAAGATATTTTGGTTTCTACCACCAATTAACTGTTCAATGAACTGAACTGATAACTGAGAAAAAAAAAAATCTAAATGCTAAAATACAATATTCTATTGGACTGTAGTGGCCACAAAGAGTAAGGGGACCAGGTGCTCGCACAGCAGACAAGTGCAGGATTGATATATTGAAGAATAGAAAAGCCAGCTCTCACTACCACCATCAGGACCAAAATGGACACAGTTCAGAGAGTGACAGAAGTGAGAATGCTGTCAAAAATTGAAGTCATTTCTGAGAAATCCCACACAACCCACTCCATGTCCTGGAGGTGATAATTCTACCGAGGTGCAGGACTGAGCGCTACACGAAGTAGCTGCCATCAGACTGTGTAATTGACAGGACTAAGAACTACTCTGGTGGACTCCATAAACAGGAAATGGTTGTGTAATGCACTTGTACAAATGTTTTTTTCAATGCATGTGTCACATATATTTCAGAGACTGTTTTCTTATATGTAGATATTGAGATTTCAGACATGCAAGTCATATTTTGCACACTGGATATATTCAAGAATTTTGAACATTGCATAATTGTGTTACATTTTCTCCTCCCAGAACCCAACACAAGATATCTAAGGTCGTATGTGGGGAAACTAACAAAAACTGCACACTCAAAATGGGGTCCATGGTAAAAATTGGTCTTTGTTTTCTAAAAGGTGACAGTGAGATTGTCCCAACTACCGCCCCCTGAATCTATCAAAGGGACAACTAAAAATTATGGCCCAAAACCAAACTCATGTGGGAGTCACTAGTTTCTGCAAAAAAAATAAAAAATAAAAAAAAAAAGTAAAGAAAAACTTGATTCTCACATTCAGACACTCAGTATTCCCAAAGAAAGTCAGCTGATGGTGCTGAACCTTTTGAGACACACTCCCCTACTGAGATGAGAGTCAAAAACCTCTAGATAGAGACTTTATTGTCATTGTGCAGAATACAACAAAACTTGTGTGGTAACTCACAGCAATCAGCAGCATTGCAATATGGACAACTCCTAAAAAATAAAATAAAACAAAATGGAATAAAGAATTTGTATATATATATATACACATGTGGCACCATGCAACTAGATATATTCAAGAATTTTGCTCACTGCACATGTTGTGTTACATTTTAGCATTACAACTTCATATCATCTCCCAGCCGAACTGATTACCAAACAGCCCACAGTTGAGCTCTGCTTCACAGGTGCAGCAGATCTACCTGATGAGCAGGGGGAGCCAAAACAAACAGCTTCTCGTATCAATTCGTAACAGTTGCACATTACATAGTCTGAGTATTCTGAGTATGCTCATTCCTAATTGTATATACTTTCCTACTGGCTCCTTCTGTAAATATATTTAGATATTTTATTTGTTTTATTTTGATTCTGGCCCACTGCTCATCAGCAAAGTGCTCTAATTTGTCCAGGACAGTTTTGTTTGTTTGTTTGTTTGTTTTTTTGAAATCTTCTTTTCAACCACAATTCAAAAACAATGTCTTCTTTCACTAAATTATAATTTAGCAAATTTTTATTTATAATTAATTTTTTCAGTTTTCGCCTTCTTTAATGCAAGGGTATGAATAATTTGAGGACGACTACCCAATAGAAATCGTATTTTAACAGCAGAGGTGCAGACGCCTGGATGTGGGAAACGCTGTCTCATTTCACTGTGTGCTGTTCAGCTGTGTGTGGCTGAAATGACAATAAAGCCTCTTGAACCTTGACTGAATGTTGAAGCCCTCCCGGCCAGCAGGGGGCGGAGTGCGGCCCAGCGGCTGTCAGGAGAGGAAGTGAGCGAACATCAGACTGCGGCTGTCTTCCACGTGTGAGAGCACTTCAGTCACATTGGCAGCTCCACGGCTCCACGATGAAACGACCAAGTGAGTAAACACCGAGCCTGAAGCTGCATTACTATCTGAGCCTGTAAAAACAACTTTTAAAGTCTTAATCGCTACGTTAGTACAACTAGCTAACCGGCTAACTGCGGTTATTCCTACAGCTAACACTGCTCAGTCCGCGTTAGCTTCTCCCGTAGCTAACTTTTCTACCCACTGTTTTATCTTTCAGAGTTAAAGAAAGCAAGTAAGCGGGTCTCATGTGCCAAACGTTACAAAATACAGAAGAAGGTAAGTTACCTTTTTTCAATTTCAAAATGTATTTTCGTTGGCTTTATAACTTCTGTGTAGCCGTTTGTAGCGGTCGGCGAGGCCCGTGTAGTCGAGAGGGGGGTCGCCTGTTCTGTAATTTCCACCTTGTTGCATTAACTTCCAGTGTTCCCATGATGTTGAGCTACATGTTGTTCTGTCTTTAAGGTTCGGGAGCACAACAGAAAACTTAGAAAAGAAGCAAAGAAGAAAGGAGTGAGCAAAAGGGTGAAGAAGGACCTCGGGGTGCCCAGCAGTGCTCCCTTCAAGGAGGAGGTGTTGAGGGAGGCCGAGCAGAGGAGGCTGAAGGTTGGCAGAGGTTTATTATTCTCATGAACATTATTGCAACAATTGTCTGGAATGTAAATGCAGCGTCAACATCCAGATTGATGCTCAGATCTAGTCTAGTCTCTGTCTCCCACAAGCGGCTGAAGACTTAGTCTAAAAGATCTTCGTCCCACTGTAAGTCTACGGCCTATCAGTGCTTAAATATCTTGGTGCTGAAATGATTCTCCCACAGAATCCTCAAGCATTCATCCATCCTCTTCCATTTACCTTAAGTTGAATTGTGGCGGCAGCAGGCTAAGCAGGGCGTTCCACGTTCTGCTCTCCAGCAATGTTTTCTGAGCTCCTTTTGGAGCATCCCAAGATGTTCCCAGGCCAGATGCGCATGTAATCCCCCCAGTAAGGTCTGTCCTGCCGGTTGATCGTGCCCAGAAATTCCCAAAAATGTCATCCACAGGCTCCTTTTTCAGTCACGAGCCAGAGCTCATGGCGATAGCTGAGGGTTGGAACATAAACTGTGAGCTTTGACTTCAAGCTCCTAACATCAGAAGCAACAATGGAACAATAGTTGACATACCACATAATACATAAAATGGACCATAAAACAAGAGTGAATAATTGTACACTGCTGCCCGTTTATTATCATACCCTCGGTCAAGGATGGAATTATGACTATATCTGGGATATTCCAATAAGCAGGCTTCAACATAGACAGTTTGTGAATAACTCAGTGAAGCAGATCTCAGGTCAGCAGGTAATTGACAAACAAACACATTCCATGGCTGGTGTGATAATCTGCCACGCATGATCGACGCTCAGCCCGTGAGCCTGAATGATCGGCCGACCGTGAGTTTAAATGGGCAAAAGTTATTCCTGAAATCAATTTCGGGGAATTTCGTTATGACAAAAACCGGGATTATGACATTATTCTATGACAATGAACGGGCTGTTTTACTATAGGTTATATAGGAAATGATTGAGGACTTTGATATTTTATGATTAGAAATGGGATATTCTATAAAGCGGTATGACATTAAGTGAGCAGCACTGTATCATAATAGGTTCATAAATTCTCCAACCACAACTGGAGGAAGCCTTTGCATAGAGCAGGGGTGTCCAATCCTGGTCCTCAAGGGCCACAATCCTGCAAGTTTTAGATCAAGGGTGTCCAATCCTGGTCCTCAAGGGCTGCAATCCTGTATGTTTTAGATGTTTCCCTCTTCCAACTGAGCTGATTCAAATGATCAGCTCATCATCAAGCTCTGCAGAAGCCTGATAACGATCCTGATCATTTGAATCAGGTGTGTTGGAAGAGGGAAACATCTAAAACTTGCTGGATTGTGGCCCTCGAGGACCAGGATTGGACACCCCTGGCATAGAGGGATGTTTGCCATATTGTTAAGTTAGCTAAAAAGATAAGGGCTAAATTAAACAGTTAGTTTTGGCAATGATTGTCTCGTCAAACAATGACAGAGTTAGTTTGCCACAAAGTAAAGCACACTCATTTGCGTGCTATTTGAGGGAATGTGCATGATATAACTACACTATCATTACACCTGTTGCTCTTTGAGTCTTTCTATCAAGTGGCCATGTTGCTTTACCGGTTCCGATGGGTTGACTGCCCCAGTCTGCGTAGACTACAGACCCCCAGATCACTGACTGCCTGTTTTACAAATGACAACTGTTTTTAAATCTATTTTTATCTCCTAGATTGAAGAAGAAAAGGAAAAAAAAAAGCAAGCCAAAAAGGAGGAGCGAGCCCAGAAGAGGAAGGCGGAGAAGGAAGCTGCAAGTAAAGAAAAAGAGCCCAAGGCCAAGAGGATTCGCACGGTAAAAGGCCGTCAGTACAGTACAACCTGTGTATTTAGGTTTTAGTCACTTCACTGCTTACCTTCATTTTTGTCTTTTGTTTGCATAGGATGACAGTGAAAGTCATTCAGGGAAACAGGCTGCTCCAAACAGAAACTCTAAAGAGTTCCTTTGCGCTGAGTTAAACAAGGTAAAGCTAATTAATTCCTGTCATTGCATTGTAGCAGAGGTATAGCTTTAGTTGTGATTAGCAGCTCATACAATCTCTTCTCTCTCTCTCAGGTAATTGATGCATCCGATGTGGTACTAGAAGTCCTGGATGCTCGTGATCCGCTGGGGTGCAGATGTCCACAGCTGGAGGAGGCTGTGCTGCAGAGGGGAGGCAACAAGAAACTACTTTTGGTTTTAAACAAAATAGGTAAATGAACATTAGATGCTGCCATGTTGAATTTTTGGTTCTGTTGTTCATTTGGTCGGATTGTCTGAACTTTGATGTTCTGTGTCGTAGATCTAGTACCAAAGGAGAATGTGGAGGGGTGGATCCAGTGTTTACAACAGGAGTTTCCAGTTGTGGCATTCAAAGCATCTACACTGATCCGAGACAAAACAGTGGTAGGAGGTGCATCCTACACACCAGTGATATAGAAAGCCATGTTAAGACTTGGAGTGTTTAATGCTTCATATAAAAACAGTTGAACCTTTGCAACTCAAACTAGCCTTTCTGCCTGTAAATAGCAAGAATAATCGATCTGTTTGCAAACATATAGTATGTTACAAAAGGTCAACGGGTATGATGTGTGTGATTACTTTAAAATAATTGCTGTAAATTCTCTGCCGGTGTCATTACGTGGAGGACTGAGAAGGTTGAACAGCTTGTGTTGTGCTGTTGTAACTGGTTATTACCTCCAAGAGTAACACACTAACTGCACAATTAAATCACTCTGTTCTAGGCAGAGCTGATACGTGTGTTTGTGGGACATTTTTTTAAAATTCGCATTCTACACACTGGGTTTATCCTGGGTCAGAATGGGCCTGTAGCGGCGACTACATAGCACTGTGGGCATGATTGGTCCATGTACAATAAAGGCAACTGCTCCATGTCCTTATTTGACAGAAATCCAGCAAAAATGTGTATCATGTTTGACTACACATAACCTTAATTAGCAAAACTGGTTTAAACAGAAGTTTTGGCTTTGGCTAAAACCTCTCTGTATGAACTCCTGTGTAGGAAAAACCCTGCACACACACATTTTAACTATGATACTTGTGAGTGTCTGCCCCTTTAATGTACATATGGAAACAATGTGTATTTGTGGATGGTACTTAAGTGATGCTTCTCTTCATCAGAAAGCAAAAAAGAGCAGAATAGATCCTTCCAATGCAATCTTGGACAAATCCAGAGGAGCTGCCTGCTTTGGAAACAGCTGTCTCACTGAGCTGCTCTCAAGTTATGCTGATAAAACCCAGAGTGAAGCGTCGCTCAAAGTGGGTGTAGTTGGTAAGCACAACTGTCCTCTATAAAAATACTTTATTCCTATGATTTTACTGTCTTATAGATCTCTATGGCATAGATATGGTATGTTTAGTTATGGTTGGAATTTGTACATGGTTTTAATTTTAATTTTCTTTATACAAACTCCCTCAGGCTTTCCTAATGTAGGGAAGAGCAGCCTTATCAACAGTATAAAGGATGTCATGGCGTGCAATGTTGGTATGAAGAGAGGCATCACCAAGTAAGTGACAATACAATAGAGCAGAATCCTCTGGGATTTGTATCACAGCTTCCAGTTATTATGTGCTTTTGTGTGTTTTGCTTTATGAAGTTAGTAATTAGTGGGAATATTAAGAGCCAACATATTCATTAGGCCATCACACTAATACAGTTTTCTCCTTACCTCGCACCAGATTAATGCAGGAGGTGCACATCTTGAAGAACGTGAAGCTGATAGACAGTCCAGGAATTGTGGCGTCTCCGTCCAACCCCCCTGCTACAATGGCTCTGAGGAGTCTGCAGGTGGAGGAGGGCGGTGAGAGTGCGCTGGAGGCTGTCAGGACTCTGCTCAAGCAATGTGACTCGACCCAGGTAGGAAGAGTTGCCACTGCAGGCGAGATGTGTGAACTGTTAATTCAGCTGCTTTTGTAAAATACTGAGGTAATGATTTGGGATTTTTTGCTCTCATTGTTCCAGATCATGCTTCAGTATACCATCCCAGACTACAGGAATTCTCTAGAATTTTTGACCCTCCTCGCCAAAAAGCGTGGTTTTCTGCAGAAAGGTGGACTTCCTAACACTGAGCAGGCAGCCACCACCTTCCTTGCTGACTGGACAGGGTGAGTGTTTTGTATTTTTCTTAAAGGTTTATAAAGGATGACCTGCTGCAGTGATTCTGTGGAAATGAGGACAAAACGCAATTCTGGATTACATTATGAAGACTTCTAATCCAACTCTGATCCAAACGCTGTGCCAGGCTAACTGCAAGTGCAAAATGTTTTTGATTTGTGAATCACAACATTGTGCGTCTCTGGCTTGGTGTCTCCTCAGAGCCAAACTGAGCTACCACTGTAAAGCATCACAGAACCAGAGTCTCCCTGCCTACCTGTCTGAAGCTGTGGTGGCTGAGATGCAGAGTGGCTGGGACCTAGACAAACTCAAAGCAGGAAATGAGGAAACTCTGACGGGTATTAAGTTCAAATTTTACACCAAAAATTAGTGAGAATTTTTTTTTTTTTTTTTTTTTTGCTTGAGACAATAAAGGATGACCATTTTCATGTTGTTGTATTAAACAAATATTCCAGTAGAAAGATGCTTCTGCCCTTGTTTGGCATATTTTTTCTTGTCACATTAATCATATGCTATTGTAAATATGTTTGCTTTAACCAAGGGACTAAAACTCATTCTTGGAGGGGTTTTTAGAAACAAATAGGACATGTACAACTATGCAGCTGGACAACTATGGTTACTGCATTGTTTTCTGGCTCATTATCTTAGTCCAGATTACTGGATGTGTTAATATTTTGTAATCACAAGTTACAATCATAAATGTTCTTGTTTTGCTCCTGACTGCAGAGTGAATTCATTGAAGGTCTGTCAGCTTTAGTAACTGGCTGTCTCTTAAGTGTGCTTTTGAACTGAAAGAGTGTAATCAGTTCTGTCTGCGTCACTGAAAACATTTGCTTTCATAGGTGTTAAATTCCCGTGCCAGTCCAGCAGTATAAGCTTCGTCTCCAAAGGCCCGACCGCGGGTCTGCTGAGTGTCTCCGACATCTCTGAAGAAAAGCCTGGTGCTGCAGCCACACAGGGAGAAGCAGAGCAGAATGACGAGAACAATGAGGTAACTATAGGTGGAGAGCTGCCAGATAATACAGCTGCTTAAAATAATGACGGCGGTCTGCTCTTCTGGAAATGAGGACAAAAATTCATGTCTTGATTTGTTGATGAAGACTTCTAATCCAACTCTGATCCTTCTGACTAGACCTTTTTTTTTTTATTGTGTATCTTGGGGATTGTTGAAATTTAAGTAACTGAAACATCTGGTCTTCTTGCAGCCTGAACAAATTACAGAGGACTCGAATAAACCAGAGGAACAGGAGCAACCACAGAAAATGTCATTAAAAAGTAAATGTTTATTTTATTTCTATATGACTAGATATACACATACTGGGGCAAATTTATACATCTCAACCTTGTTTGTTTTTTTTGTAGAAACACCCGGTCATGTGCGGTTTCAACCGGTCCCCATTGACATCAGCCTCTCTACAGTCACAACAGATGATGCCTATGATTTCAACACTGACTTCAAATGAGCTCTGCCTTCACACTGAGCTCTGGTGGACATTCAGACCTGGGTCATGTGCCCTTCACTCTCTGCCTAAAGCTGGAAAACAACGGGACAATTTACCACACAAGGATAAACCATTTTATCCTAAACTGCTTTCTTTGTTTTGTTTTTTGGCTTAAAGAGACTTTAGTAGTTCTGTATATATTTATATCCACTGACTGCTTCTCCCAGATGTTGGTAAAAGATTGCAAGTTCTAAATGTCCTGCAGTCTTTGTAATGTCTTGTTATGCAAGAATGTTGTATATAGACAACTTACTAATGTAATAAACTGTCTACAAAATGGTAAGATGGTTGTATTGCTGTAATCATTAATTAGAACATTAAGTCTTTACAGCTAAAACTTTAATGACATTTTAACAGCATTGTCTTAACTTAAATATTTTATATCTATTCCCAGGAAAGTGTTATTGAAAACTGAACTAGACACAGTCTTAGAAATGGTGAACCTTCATGAAATAACTACATTAGATGAACAGATGACCTCACCAGATTTTAATAAACCTGCAAGTTTTATTTCATGTACAAAAAAAATTACACCAGCATGGTGATTCTTTTTCGAATGGTATAAAAATCCTGAAAAGGAAGGGATGAAGCTTGGGGCATTTGTGCAAATACCATGTTCTTCACTTTCTGCAGAGGTTTGCTTAGTGGTCTACATATAGTCAGTTTAAAAAAAACACAAATTGTAACAGTTCAGCATGAAAGGCAGTAAAATGCTGTTAGTGTTCATTACAGCATAGCTATTGGGGCAAATTTAAAAGGCAATGCACCACTAACTTGACAACAATAAAGTAACAGTGGGTTTGGAACAAAGTTGTTCAGAGGAATAGATCTATAGAGGAGCTAAAACAGACCATTAAAAGATGTAAAAATCTGGCCTGATGAATCTTATGTGCAAGTTAGTGTTCTAAAAGTGGGTTATGTTTCCACAGGAAATACTGAATTGAGGTAAAGACATGGAGCCTCTGCATGGACAAAATGATTCTTCTGGAGATTGAACTGATCATAGAGGAGTGTGTTTGAAACAAGTATAAACTGTGAGGCTGACTCCTGCACCATTACATCCTTACAGCCATTATTTAGCTGCATGTAAACATACCAACTTAAGCCCTAATTACTTTGACAGTGATGGCTTCAGCTTTACATCTTGGTACATGTCATGTAACGTCATTCTGTGGACAGCATTGATGCATATATTCTGTTAGAGTGATACTCTTTAGACACAACACCTCTGATCAAGTTCAGGGTAAAACACAGCTCCTATTCATAGGGAGGCAAACGGCTTGTGAAACAGTCTGCTATCAATAGTTTGGCAAAACATTTTGAGAAAATGCGAGTCAAAGCAATCTCAGGGCAACAACAAAGCACTCTGGGTATTAAGAAAAAAAAAATTCAGCGTTCAAGGTAATGTGAGAGTACTCAGGTCCGCACGTTTAGAGGATGACAGAACTCAAATGAAGGGCTGGAAGGTGAGAAGGCCTTACTTAGTTCCTGAGATACAACGAGGCGTGTTCCTGCTGGGACAGGGCTGGTCGGGAGCTTCCTGAGAGCCAATTTTTCAGTCTAGCTGTGTCTTCGCACAGGGGAAAACTTTCCTGTGGGGTCTGGAATGAACCACTTGTCCCACACGTCAGAAAAGGAGGACGCTCTTCCCCAGGGTTTATAGTGACCATTCCAGTGGAGGAGTTTGGCAGCCTTCACGAACTGGGGGGAGTAGCGGTTTCCAGCACCAGTAGTGCCTGGAAAGTTGTCATTGTTTATTCATTTACATTTATCTAATTGAAATAAAGCCTTCTAGCATTGGAACTACAACAACATATCTCCCAACAAGATTATATGTTTGACCTTTATCAGCTTATGTAACCTGAAAACGTTGATCCGCCACAACAGCTTGTTAAGTCAGTAACATTATAAGGCACATTTAAATGAGTGGATGATTCTATTGGAATAGTTTCCCACTTTGGAAAATGTGCTTTTTCTCAAGAACCAGACAAGATTATCAATACCACTTTCAAATCTGTCAATTAAATGTGAAGATATACCATAAGAACAGCCATCTTATCTTTGCATAAATACTGTACTTAGAGAAATGTTGGATCTTTCCTTTCAAAAAAATCCTAAGCAGCTTCTCAAGCAGCCTACACTTAGTGCTGTAATGCGCGTGAATGTAACGTATCAAGTAAACCTTCAAAAAGGACAGTAACTGCTTGGTGAGGTTAAAAAAAAGTCTCTCTAGTTTTTACTCAGGAATCAACAAGAACTTACCAAGGTGTCTCACGTGCCACAATGGGTCGATGGTGGAGTGACGTTTGTAAAAAACAATGAGGAGTGGAGGAGTCGTGATACTCTCTGCAAGTGTTTTACTGTACAGATCCTCCCTGGAGAATAAGAACCACAACATGTAGCTTAATGCTAAAATAGAGTTCAGTGGATTCAATGTATGTTGTGTTTTTACAGTAAAACTCAACAGTCTACCTTCTATCCCCCCCTTCATTTCACCCGTGTGAGTAACTTACTGCGTGTTGAGCTCCATCCAGTGCTCCAGCTGCTTGGTGACGTTCTGGTTCCTCCATTCAGTCAGGTTGGCGACAATGACTCCGGGGTTGAAGGAACACGTGTTGGCCCTCATCCCCAGCTTCTTGATAGCTTCCTTCTTGAAGTCCAGGAAACCTATATAGTTATTCTGTTGAAAAAGAGCAGTTTTATTTAATCAAGCATCAGAAATAAACATTTCTTTACATAACGAAAAATAGCCAGCTCTCACAATAGATGCCCACCTGATTTCCAGCCCCTCGAATGATGCCCTTAGCAGATGCTGAGTCGCAGTCATCTGAGAAGGCAGCTGCATGTCCGGGTTTGAGGTTGATTTCATAAAGCTCCTGAATGTCCCCTGAGAGCAAACAGAACAGACAAAATGCATTTAATAATTTACTTCAAATCATTTCTCTTACTGAGTATACTTTTAAGAGTTCTAACTGACTAATGGAAGCAGACTTTATGGTGGGTTTTTACCTTGTACTATGATATCATCATCCAAATAGATGGCTTTCTCTGCCTCTGGTATGTATGCAGGCAGATAAAACCTGGCAAACGTCAACTGAAAAACAGACCATTAAAACAAGTTTTGCAAGAGGTGATCACAACTGCATTGCATGCATGCAGTAGCATAAATATTTATCCCGGGACAGTAAATTCAGTTGTCTTACTGGTTTTGCAGCCTCTTGTGTTTGAGGATCTTTAGATATCTTCCCATTGAGGAGCTCAGGGTTGAAGATAACTATCTTATATTTAATTTTTTGTAGCTTCGTCTTACTCAGCCACACACTGTTGGGCAAAGTAAAGAAAAAAACTTGTGTCAGATTACTTAAGTCCAGATATTACTAATATTTCAAAATGTGGTAGTGGGACTGCGAAACAGACCTGCATTTATACATTCAAGATAATATAATATTATGCATGTGGCAAGACAGACTTGCTTCTTACTTTAGATGATCGACCGTGTCATTCAAGGTCACAATGGTGAAGACAACATTGGCTTTACTGTTCTGGTAGACACTGTTCATGGCGGCAACCACAGCACCGAGCCTGTCCTCAGCAGCAGTGATGAGAACAGGGATCTCCTCTCCTTTTCTCACCGACTCTAGTCTGAGGTCTGGAGACAACTCAGACTCGAAGGGAAGAATTAACCCTGCATCTGGATGAAAACACATTTGGGTTTCACAAATTGCTTTTATGGTTTTAATGCACCGACTTTGTCTGATGAGATGTACATGTTTTAGCTACAGTTAAATATTTTGTTATGCAGTTGAATCCTGAGCTCCACTGCAGCTGAATATCATGTTACAGTCTGATACATTCACTAATGTTAAAATGTATCAAGTTTTTTTTTTTTTTTATCAAGTTTTTCTGTTGCAGGATATTTGCAGCAGTGACACTGACCTGCATATAGATGCGTTATGAAAGCTCTCCAATAGGTAAAGTAACTATCACAATATGGTAACAGGAAGCCAAGTAACAATGGGTGCTGTAGCTGCATAAATTCCTATCATACATGGGCAGAATTTTGAATGTCATCATAGATAAACTATGGATGTTTTGTCTATGGGTGAACCTTGATCCCTCAAACAAACTTCAGCATCTCTTCTCCTGGACTGTTTTGAACAGTGGTCACCCAAATAACCAAAATACTAACAATGCTTGTATCAGTGTATGCACATAACTGGTGGCATTAACTGTAAAAATAAGAAACCAAAGTATATCAGTACATGATTTCTCTTATACTGACACAGTTTTCAACTAGCTGCTCTCTAACAGTGTAACAGAATTCCTGATGTTCAGTTTTGGCTTTTGTTTTTTGTAGGAAAAGCATACCTGGGTTTTCTTTGTGCAAAAAGTCACTGAGGTTGAGGAGGTTTCTTTGAACTATGATCAAAAAGGCAACAGCTAGCAGCACAAGGATGACCAGGTTTACTGAAAGACACAGAGGACAACAGATTGTAACATGAGCTGGGGAGCATAAGGCAGCAGTGTCAGCGTGGGAACTGTGAAAACTAAACATTTATTGCCACGTCATGTTCGATGTAAATGTGTACCAGTTTGTGCACCTCAATATTATTGCACCATCTTGGAGTTCATTTATGTTTCTACTTCTGCTTTTCATTCACCATGCACGATGTAATGCAACTGCTTTATGCAAATTGACCTACCTCTCCTTAGTGTCATGGCAGTCGTCTCATCCGTCCGTCCAATGTGTCTGATAAAAGAAATAATAACAATAGCTGACAGCAGAAAGTTGACCTAAGTGGAGCCACGCTGGATTAGCTGGCAGCCTAATGAGGACTGAGGTAAACCCGAAAGGCTGCTGCACCGCTGCGTGACGACCGCATAAACAGACGAGTCCGTCTGCAAACTAGCGGCTGTTAACTGTGAGTTAATACGCTTACATTTAAAATAATGTTCGTAAAGTTTAAGGAAGAAACCAGAGAAAAGACTAGTCCACGTTGAAGCCAAACTGCCAACTCAACATCAACAACTTTATCCCATCCGCTAACACAATTGCACGTAGTAACAGATGTCTACAGAGTGCCTGATTGAAAATGCTATCATCTTTCCGTTTTGGGAAAATACAAAATGTTAAGAGCAATATTATAGAATGCATATATGTTTTTAATGACTGGAATTATGAAGCAAAAAAAAAATATTGACATAAAATGTTGTGCGTAGAAAATAGCAGCTGCATATTTTCACGGGCAGTCCTGTCGACAGTCAAACTGTTTCACAGACACCAAGTTTACCGTAACACCACAACCATTGAATATCTATTTAAGGATTCCTCGTAACGTCTCGTACTTCAGCCAATCCCTGTCACTTATAGATCACTGCACCTGCGCAGCTTGTGCTCCTGGGCGTGGCTTTACGGGTCCTTCTCTATACGACGACGTATCTGTTTGAAACCGGAAGCTGAACTGCCTCAGTTTGGTCTCGCTAAAACCAAATTTTTTCAGTTGATGTGTGTTCATTTCTGTCGGAAAAATGCTGTCTATATTCAAGTCCATCCCAACGCATATGGTAAGAGATTATTAGAATATTTTATGGGAAGTTATAAAGTTTAGCCCGCTGCAGTTTCATTCATGCAGCTGTATTTAGCGAAAGCTAATCTGTGTAACGTTAGCTGGTTGATGCTGTGCTCCCACAGGTAACAGCTGCTGGCTAACGGTAAAATCAGCCAAATTTATCTTCTAATTCAATAAAATCACAAATTAAGTATGCAGTTAACCTGAGATATTTGCAGGTGTTAGTTGTTGGCTGATATTTATATCAATGGACGTTATGTGTATATATGTATTGATGAATGTATATTTGAGGCAGTAAAAGCAACTTCTTGTTGTAAACTGAGTTATACAGGTGAATTCTTTCTTGTATAACTCAGGTAGGTATGCAACCTGCTGTAACATTAGTGCAACTAAATAAAGCCGTCAGGCAGCATTATGATTTACTAGCTATTGATTGTGCTCAGATGGTGATAATACACTAACCTTACATGACACTACATATACTAACCTGTATTCATTGTTGTTGTTTTTTTTTTTGTTTGTTTGTTTTTTAAATTGTGTTGCAGGATTACAAGGGTCAGAAGCTGGCTGAACAGATTTTCCAAGGAATAATACTCATCTCAGCGGTAACTAACCATGACACATGCAAAGTAGTGAAACACCCCAGTAGATTTATTATCATGCATGCAAAACGGTCTGGTTTTCCTGCCTGTGAGAAAAAGTTAAAAATCTGTTGCTATGGTTAGAAAAGTGCTAGTGTCCCCCAATTGTGCTCAAAAACTTTTGAACCTGCTAAACTGATGATAAAACCTGGAACATTGAGTTAATCCAATAGAGTCACATGTGCACATAATGCAAATGGGGGAAACACTCATCGCTGACTTGAGATTTTTGGGCAATGACCCCATTCTTGATCTTTCCATTATCATTAACAATAAAGTCTGTACTTTGTTGTTTCATGACGTCAATTTTGCTGTGGAGATGCCATGTGTTGAAACAACAAGTGCTTATTCCCCTGTGTTAAATAGAATGGATAGAATTAAATGAAACCTTAGAGACTGTTTGTTGTGTCAGTATATATAGTATTGCATTTATTCTTGTAGTTTACTAACAGCATTTGTATTGTCTTTACAGGTGATTGGGTTTGTGTATGGTCTGATCATTGAACAGTTTGGGTGGACAGTGTACATAGTCCTGGCTGGTTTTGCTGTGTCTTGTGTGGTAAGTTTTTGCTTTGTATCGTTTGCTTTTAGTTCGGGTACTGGATAGACATCACAGAGCAGGAGAATTAGGCAAAACTGATAACTCCTGTGATTATATGCCATGTCAACACATCTTATGGACAGACCACCATTATATAGTTTTGTCTCTGTTCTTTACTTTAGTTGACACTGCCCCCATGGCCGATGTACAGAAAGAATCCTCTATCCTGGCAGCCAGCTCTACCAGAGATCAGCGGGGAGTCCAGCCAAAAACCTCAGGAAAGCCTCAAGAAGAAGAAGCACAAATAACTCGGATCTATCCCTGTCTGGCTGTGAATACATCTTTTTATATGGGAAATTTGAAGCTCGCCTCATAATTTACATTTGAAGCATTTAGAAAGAAAACTTTATTACAGTGTTTGTCAGTTAATAATGACCCTTGTGTTTCAAATAAACATCTGATTCGGACTGTGTTTTATAAATGGGTTGTTTGATTCTATTTACAATTCTTTTTTGTTTTGTTTTTTTTTGTAGTTGTTCTCTGCAGGATGATTTCCTGTTTAGTCATTTACCGCTTTGAGACCATCAGTGAAATATTTTATTGTGGTTTTAAGCATTGTAGAAAATAGGTGTGAACAAAAAGTACATTTTGGATTTATTAGAAATAATTCAAATGTTAATATCTACAATCTAGTTTACATTACTTTGTGTATAAGAAAATACAGTAGAGCAGCAGAAGGGAGATCTTTAAAGATACAACATAAGTGAAACAATTATTGAAATTCCTGCTTGCATTATAAATAAGAATGTTCTACTACACAAGTAGAAAGACACAGATTGCTATAACATGATTAAGTTCTTTGCATAGGCATTCTCAAAATGGTAGGATTAATTTCACAGTCTGCTTATACTGAAGTGAAGTTTAAAAAAAACTTTACACATTTACATACAATAGACTGTACAAGTGTAGACAGTGACGATTCCAAGACAAAAGCTGCAGTCAAAAATAAGAACTTGCATGCAGGCAGGAGGAAAGTGCCACACAACCATGGTGGTCTTTTTACAGGAAACAAACACATCTCTGAGCAGTTTTTCCTTTTTCACACAAAGACAAAAGTGTCCTGTTTTGCTGCTCCTGTCAAGATGGATGCCTCTTATGAACAAAGCAAGTTTTCACAAATAGTACCGTGGAAAACGTGTATGCTCCCTAATGTCCAGTGTTCTCTACACTTTGAAGGCAATGTCCTCAAAGAACTTCAGCTGCCTCACCATCACAGCATAAGTTTGGTACTTCTCATCGCCCATCTGGTCACGAAGGCACAGCTAAAAAAAAAAAAAAAAAACAGAATAGGATCATTTTAGAAACAAAGGACAGGCGACTTTGTCTTTTTACTTTATATTTATACTACAGCTGCCCTTAAGAAGTACATAGTGTTTCACGCAGTTTGCATACCCTTGGCACTTACTGCTTGTATAATAATATTGTGCAATGCATCATGTCATAGGTGATCTGATGGAGTGGAACCTCCTGGTATTTTTGCCATATTGCACTTGACATACTATGTATTGGGATGTACTAAATCTTGTCCTGTCATATATCTTATGGTAGTATGGGTACTGGACTGGGCATGTAGGTTTTGCACTTTGCAGACAAATAAATTTTATTGTGCATCGGCAAGTATTGGAGGAATTCACTAGTAACATTGTATTTACAAAACCAGTCTGTACTGAGAGATCAGTCTAGTAATTCTTAATTGTAATACTTAGTATTTGTTAGACTTATTCCAATTAACAAACACTCAATGTTAACGTGAATCTAAACTGTTACAAAGAAAATGTTTAATTCATGTATGAAGTTAAAAATCTGGGTCAGTATCAGACAAGCAGTGTAGATACGGTAGAATGAAGAAGAGCAGTTTGCATAAACAGCAGTTTGTTAGCAGCGTACTTCCAACCTGTGTGTTCATTAGTGTCAAATGACTGATTTGTTATAAATACCGTGGCAATGACTCCAATATGAATAGTGAGAATGCAGCATTCCTGTTGACTCATTTAAAATCAAGCAAATCAAATTGATTAAGAAAAAAAAGTCAGAATATTTTAAACATCTCCCCAATAACGTCTATATTGGTTTGATGTGATTGTCTGATGTATTTCACTCACTTCTCTTTTAACATCATCCTCCTCCTCCATGATTTCCAGCACTCTGTCCAACAGCTTGACTCCCAGGCCCTTTACCACATCTGTTCTCAGATGTTCTATAGCTCTTCTTATCTTGGCCGGACCAGATGTGGAACCTTCTGGAAGGAAACGCTTGTTAAACAAAAGGAAGCTTTAAACTGGCTGATAAAAATAGAGACTGATGAAAGCATCTAACCTATTGGTATTTCACCAAGTGACAAGTTCTCTGCTTCCTCTCGAGCCTTTCCATGAAGCACCAGAGTGTCTCTGTACTTTCTGTTCAGTTTAAATTCTGGCAGTGCGGTGGAACCAAATCTGCTCTTATCCACCTCATTTACAGCGTCGCCAACATCCATTCTTAAAGTCTGAGTCATCATGTGGACCAAATCATGTATGTCGTTCAACTCAGTCTTTCTGCAGATAAACAATAAATCATGGTTACACAGTATATTCATACAGGCAGTGTGAAAACAGTGCCCTGATGTAAAGACTTTCATAGATAGATAATGGATAACAATTTTAGGTCCAGTTACATAGTCTAATCGTTGTACATGGTTTCACCTTTCCCTGCAGTCTCCCTCTGAACGCTCTGTGGAACTTGTAGATGAGCTGCACTCATCTTCATCAGATCTTTGCTCCAGCAACTTATCCTGCTGTAATACAAAACCGTTGTTACAAACATGTTATAATTCACTTTAACACTGTCAGATTAGCTTCACAACACAGACAAAATCTGCATTAAATAGTTGTCATCGGGCTTACAAGGCTAGCACCAGGTTCATTGTTGAATACAGTGTAGTTTATGGATGAACTGTAAAGACAAGGCGTGCAAGCCTTTTTTCCTGCCACAAGACATTCACAGAGTGCAGCTTCTGTTTCACGACTGAATTAAATAAAACTGCATGTCAGAGTCAGTGGAGTTACTGTACCTTACTGTTGCACTCTGTGATCGAGTCGGAAACAGATCGAGTAACTAGGGTATTGTCCTGCTCAGCCTTGGTGGCAGCGACATCATAAGATGCCCTTCGTACAGCACTAACACCTGAGGAAACAAGAAAAGTATTATAACACAAAAATCCAGCATCAACTCTCCCTTTTTATGAGGACATTTAAGTAAAAATAAGCATGTGCATGTCTGTTTCCTAGTGGGATTAAATGCATATCTGCATGTGTAGTAAAGTGCATTTTCTAGGACTACTGTTTTGATTTTTGCATTTTCTTCTTCATTGTAGCCTCTATTCCAGCCTACTACAACTTCTATTTGACGTTTCTTTATACATCCAACTAAAACATTTAGTTTTCAGATAGAACAAAGAATACCTGGTTGGCTGGCACTGTCTTGGGACTGCCTCAGTCGTCTTCTCTCTCTGGCAGACAGAGGACGATCCTGAAAATAAAATTAACCCACATTTTCTGTCATTGACAAACTGTGGGCAGAGCAGCTACTCAGAAATTTACATCACTGTACAATAACATGTCAAGTGTCATGGAGAAAGCTCTCACATGCGATAGTGGTAAGAATCCATCCTTGCTGGAACCGACTGATGTGGAGGTTGCAGTGACGGCAGCTTTCCTGCTGTCTGTGCTCCTCCTGCTCCTCTTCTTCCCCTCTGCAGCTGAACTCTCAACAGGAGGTAGAGGTAAAGGTCTTGGAGCAGCCAGCTTGGACTAACATAGGATAAAACAAGATGTAAGTATTATTTTAATTGGCCTAGCTGAGTGCTATGTAAGTGCCAGTACTGAAGCAGAAAGTGGTTAAAACATTATCTTAACCTATCTTAGCACAGTTTTTATTTCTATTTATAAATGGAATACGATTCAGTTTTAAAAAAAAACAAACTGTAGAGTCAGTGAAAGTACATTATATAATCTATTTTCTTATGTTGTTACATTCTCATAATAGTGCTAATAATTGAAATATCACATAATATGGCAACCTAATGTTAGCTCCTGTATCTCAATGTTTACCTTGTCATTGTCCCAGTTTGTCCGTCTTGTGTGCTTCTCTCTGTGTTGCTGTGATACAAAAGGTTCTGATGAGAAGTGCAGGGGAGTTTGGTGTGCAGCAGCCCGATCTGCCTTACTGGTTAGCATGGGAGGTTCCCTCTGAACAGGCTCCTAAACAGACACAGGTACATTTTCTCCATTGTGGCAAAAATCTCTTGTTTGGCAATGTAAGACAAAGGTCTACAAAATGTATATGAGAATGTAAATGCTCACTGGTGTTGAAGGGAATGGCTCTAACAGCTTTTCAGTTGATTCCAGGTTGTCCTACAAAGATACAAATTAACATGTGAGACTTATAAAAGGATCACTTTGTGAGAAAACAACAGCAGTCCTGTTCTGTTCCTGTTGGCACTTACCTGGACGTCTGAGGTATGCAGGTGTTTTGCTGGAGCTTGCTTGAAAAGGGTCACCGTGTCATTTTTATTGTCCATATTCTCTTCCATAGTCTCTTCAATTTTTTGTAGAGTTGGATTCTGTGCATCAGCATCTTTAAGCAACTCCATGGTGTCATCCTTCTCATCCACATCTGACACCTGTTTCTCCCCAAAGACACAAAATGTTTCCCCAGGGTTTGATGGGCCCTGTGGATGAATGTCTAGCAGTCCATTGGATGCTGTCTTTTCATCTCCTCCCCTACTGCAAACACCTGATACAGACTTCAGAGGGGGCTTAACAGGGGAAGGAGGGGGGGAAGGATCTGGTTTCCCTCTCCCTCTGCTGTCTTTGTACACACAGTGAGTTGCAGGTTCATTAGCTACCTGGTGATGAGACACAACAGACTGGGGCCTGTGCACCTGTTTCTTCACCGGGTCATCATCCTGCTGCAATTGGATATCAATGTTAATGTTGCTGACAGTTGCCAGGGATGCTGTGAGAGCATCCGGTGAAGAAGGTTTCGGGGGTGGAGGTGTGTTGAGTGGAGTGCAGTCTGTGGAACCATTACGGCCTTTTTGCTGTTGTGATTTGTCTTCTTTCTGTGGATGAAAACAAAACAAACAAACATTTGGTTGATTTTAACATGTTATGACCAGAATAAATCTATGTATAACTATGGAATATAAAATAATCTCATGTATTCAGAATTGATTATGGCAGTTTGAAAAACCTGGGTGCAATGCCATCTGTATTATGGATTTTAAAAAATACTGCTGCTAAATATAAAACAACAACATATTTATACATTTGTACTGCTTGCAGTGTTCGCAGTGTGGAGTGAAAAAATAAATCAGTAGGAAGCGTTTTCTGTTTTCTAACCAATACTGTACTGTACTGTGACCTGGTATCAGCACTTTTTCTGGAAAAGCAACTTAACTAAACTTATTCCGATTCATCAAGCTTACAAATGTTAATGGCAGTTGTCCTTATGGTTCTGTATTTGCAAGGCAGTGCAGACAAATGTCACTGTAATACTAATGACAAGTAATATTGTTAAAGTTTGGCCAGTGTGGTGCCTCAACGACAACCATATCCAAGTGGAAGCAATACTTTTCACTAAGGAGTGTTACAAGAGTGTTTTTTGTTTTCAACAACAAGCACAAATGACTTGGCAAAATAAAATAGCAAAAAGCTTTTGATGAGTATAGCGCAAAATGACCTGAATGCTACTATTCGTCTAGCAAAAGATAAAAAATTATATATCCTAGGATATACATTATCCAGTATCGGTATTTGTCAGTAACTCACCCGTTTTACCCTGGCAAGAGGTTCAGGCTGGGGACTTGGAGGCTGCTTCTCAGGTTTTGGCTTACACGATACCACAGGTGATGCACTGTTGGTCTTACAATCGCCACTACCACCCACAGCTTTCTTTCTTGATTTAGCAGTTTTTCTGGAGTAGTAAGGACCAAAACAAGCACAAGCATCTAAAAAGACTGATCACTGTACTAAATGCAAGCAGCTTACAGTGGCAAGAAGCAGGATAAGGAGGGGTAGAAATTAACATCTGATTGTAAAAAACTTGTTCCTGTTGAAATATACAGAGAAAGAAAATGACAGCAAAGTATTGATTTTGTAGTTTTGTATAAAAATTCCCAAGAAATTTAAAATCAAGACCAAGGTAGTTTGCTCTCAGTGACACCTACTCTTTGGTGGCCTCAAGGAACATGGCAATTTGTCGTTTTATGTAGGGCTGTCGGAGGATAAACTTGACATCAGGTCTCTCTTCGGGTCTCTTACACAGCATGCTCTTGATCAAATCTCCGAGCTGGGGATCATACCTACTGGGCATCTGTGGCAGCTGATGAAAAAAAAACAAAGGACAATGTTATAAACCACTGTCAGACTACTTTTTCTAAATATTTCTGGATGATCAGGATTCCAAAAATAGCACACTATCGTAACAAGACAAGCAGTAAGTTTAGTAACACAACAAAGATGGCTGAAGTCACCAATGACTCAGACATGTAGCAGCAGTCAATAAATACTTAGATATGACCTGAATAAGTGCAGTTTACTGTATAGAAAATTGATTGGATACCTCACAAAACAAACATATGAAACCCACCTTTCCCTCTACAATGCGATACACCAGTGAGTTCATGTCCTTGGCATTGAAGGCATGTTTCAGTGTGGACATCTCATACACACAGCAACCCAGGGCCCATACATCGGACTAGACACAGAATGTACTGAATTATAAAGCAGTTACAAGCGAACACCTACAAACAAACTACACACAGTAAGTATCAGACTTCACTAGTTAAGAATCTTTGGATTAAGAATGATCTAAACTTCATTGCGTGCGATTAAATCATTGCATTATGGTGCAGTTTACTATGTTCTTATTAACTTTTTGATACGTATGCCGTCTGTTTTAGTTATATAATGGACTGTGCAAATTGATAAATCAAAGGGAATGTGTGTGGTAGAATAATCCTTTATCCTGCTTGGATAATTTCAAGGACGATTAGTGAATAATGTTCCCTAAAAACATAAAGAGCAGTCAATCAACATACCTTGTGGTTATAGGGTTTATTAGAGAAGAGCTCTGGACTCATGTAGTAAGGCGTCCCTATGAGTGTGCTGGCCATATCATTCTGGTTCTCCAACACTCGTGCAATGCCAAGATCCCCAACTTTGATGATGTTGGTTTTCGTCAGGAAGATATTCTGTGTTTTAAGGTCCCGGTGAAGAATGTTTCTCTCATGTAGGTACTGAAAAGCAAAAAATCCATCCAGTGACTTCCCGTGTCTCATCTTATGAAAAGAAAAAAAGTCTGTTTGACCTGAAGTGGAATTTTACTCTACAACATACTGTACCTGGAGTGCCATGGCTATCTGGACAAACCACTCCACGACCTGCCTCTCGGGTAACAGTTCCCCTTTTTGTTGTTTGAGCCTGTGGTAGAGGTCACCTCCTTCACAGAAACCCATCACAATATACAGCTGATAGTCATCTCCTTCCCAAGACTCCCTGTAAGTCACAATGTTGGGGTGTCGCAGCTGGGAGAGGAGCTGCGCCTCCTGCTCTGCAGAGCGACGCTCCCGCTTGGAAGAGGTGGTTAAATTCAACTTCTTTATAACATACTGGAAAAAGACAAAGAACAACACACACTTGCTAATGTTAGGCTGAACCACTGAGTATTTGTCTACCATTATCTTTTTTTTTAGCAAACATTAATACAAGCTGAATGTTGTGGAGCAGGGATTCATAAGTTTTATCAATGCATTTCACAAGACGGAGGAGTACGAACAATGCCATGAAAAGCTGTTAAAGGAGCAATTACTTTTGGTTTTGTAGATGAATTTATGTACACACAAAAGTGGAGGATGGGAATATCTGGATATGATAGTCAGTAAATTGTGAATCTACTGTGATTAACCCTATTCAGGACTTTCATGTTGTCATACCTAGAAAGTCTTTTGGATCCATTGGACCCAATGAAAAAAATATGTGCAAAATATTTGTGTGTATTCATTATAGACTTCTATACTATGGTAAATACATTTTCTGATAAGTTGAAGTATTTTTGGTTCCAAATGCATGACACATGTCCCTCTTTTATGTTAAAAAAAATAAAATAAAAAAATCTTTAAAAATAAAAAAAAAACAACACCAGTCACCTAAATCAAATAGCCTGGGGTCCAAAAGACCCCAAAGGTCCTGAGGGTGAACAGTTAGTACAACTATTTGACTAAATGAATCGTAATGCTTTCTCAACCTCCACAAGGACTACTCAGGGATTAGCTACTGTCGACACATAATGACGTCTATCACCTGTCAAACTAACTGTTCCTGTTCTGTACGTAACAACAAAAATTGCACTAACATAAAAAATAATGTTACCAAATAATCTCACTCACCATATGTGAATATAACACTGCTTAATCAACCCGAAAAATCTCAGCACAATGCAGGCTACAACAGCGTAAACAAGTCGGTGAGGTTTTAGCTAACTTTACGCTAGCTGTACTTAGCAGGATTTAGGGTCTCTTCCAAAACATTTAATATAAGGCTAGCACGGTTGTGTGTTTTAACAGCTGTAGGCTGTAATAAAACATTCACACGCTTTTCGCTTCTCACCTGTTTTCGGTCAGTTTTGTGTTTCACTAAGTTCACCTCCCCATAGCTCCCTTTGCCAACGACCCTGATGAAAGTATAATTATTCATCATTCGTCAAAACGCTTCATAACGCGGCCTGGCACGTTAAAAACGTCACAAGAACCTCTCGGCAAGAGTAACGGAGTTATTTCGTCCCATAATCCAGCAGTAAAGACGAGATAAATATATGAAATCTATTTGTTAAAACTTGGCGCTAGCTCAGTGCCAGCGATGAGATTTTGAAAACGCAGGAAATCAGCAGCAGCCGAGAGTTTTTCGTCACTAGGCAACCGGCAGCTCGGCGCTGACGATGAACGGAGGAGCCGAGTGGACCCGAACACGGAAGCGGTGAGAGCACAGCGACCCCTAGTGTCCGGAGGCAGATAGACGCAAATGCACCCCAGAGAGCCTTGAACCCTTCATAGGGTACTCCTTGAAATACTTGGAAAATGAAAATTTCAACCCTAGGCTGTTATTGAAAGATATGTCAAGATATTTTTTACTTTTGTGACTTTAAAAAAAATGTTGCAAATCAAGTTTAATAAAGTTGCCATATATGGTACCTGTCCAGTGTGTCCCCTGCCTTCGCCCTTAGTCGGCTGAGATAGGCTCCAGCCCCCCTGCGACCCTAGTGAGGATTAAGCGGTGTATAGATAATGGATGGATGGATGG